CGGCCTGACCAGTGTCGCATCGAGGGGGAGGATCACCTCCTTGGTCCTGCTCGAAAGGAGGCATCTGTGGATGCACGACAAGGTGCGGTTGGCCTTCCTGCCCGTGTCTCCACACTGTCGGCCCATGTTCATTTTGGCATCAATAACGACTCCAAGTTCCTTCTCTGCCTCTGCGCTGACGAGAAGGGAGTTCCCCAGCCTGTAGGTATGCTGCTGGTTCCTCCTCCCCAGGTGCAGCACCTTGCACTTGGTCAGTGTTGAACCCATCCTGTTCTCATCCGCCCACCCCTGTAACCTGTCTAGGTCCGATTGCAGCCTATTCCTCTCTTCTAGCATGCCCACTTCCCCCCACATCTTAGTGTCATCAGCAAATTTGAACAAGGAGCTTTTTACCCCCTCGTCCAAGCTGCTGATGGAGATGTTGAACAGCGCGGGTCTGAGGACCGAGCCCTGGGGGACCCCACTGCCCACAGCCCTCCAGGTCGAAAAAGACCCGTCCACCACCACTCTCTGGGTGCAGCCCTCCAGGCAATTGGTGACCCATCTGACTGTGTAGGGGTCGACACCACAACCTCCTAATTTTTTTAACGAGAATGAGATGAGAGACAGTGTCAAAGGCCTTCCTAAAGTCCAGAAAGACTACGTCCACCGCGACACCTGCATCCAAGGATTTTGTGACCTGGTCGTAGAAGGGCACCAGGTTGGTCTGACAGGACCTGCCTCGGATGAGCCCGTGTTGGTTGCCCCTAAGCACAATCCCCCTGCCGGCCCCTCGCAGATGTGCTCCCGGATAATGTTCTCAAAGAGCTTCCCCAGGACCGAGGTAAGACTAACGGGCCTGTAGTTTCCTGGGTCCCCCTTCCTCCCTTTTTTGAAAAGGGAGACCACATTGGTCCTTTTCCAGACCTCTGCCACCTCACCAGAGCACCACGAGTGCTTGTAAAGCCATACCAGGGGTCCCACAATGACCTCTGCTAATTCCCTCAGCACTCGGGGGTGAAGATCATCAGGACCTGCTGATTTGAACACGTCCAGTCCTTCCAGAAGTTCCCAGACTAGGTCCTCACTGACCCTGGGCCTGGGTGCGCCCCCCCCTGGGTCCGTCGGGGATCCTGGTGGAGGGGATGACCTGGTCTCTGCTTAGAAAAATGGAGGCAAAGAAATTGTTAAATAGGTTAGCTTTGTCGTCTGGTGAGACCACCAGATTCCCTAGCATGTCCTGCAGAGGCCCCACGTTATTTGGTACTTTCTTTTTACCCCCTATGTATTTAAAAATGGATTTCTTGTTATCCTTGATCCGGGTCGCTAGTCCCAGTTCCATCTCCGCCTTGGCCTTCCTGCCCACCCCAATACAATCCCGAGCAACGGAGGCATAGTACGCCCTGGTGAGGGCTCCTCCCTTGCATTGGGTGCACGCCTCCTTTTTAGCTTGGAGACGTTCCTGGATGCCTTTGGTGAGCCATGGGGGCTTCTGAGCACTCTTGCCCCCTTTGATCCGTGTTGGGATTGCCACCCTTTGGGCTTGGAGGATCATCTCCTTCAGGAATGACCACTCTTGGACTCCCAACTCCCCTCCCCTCCGGGACCTCAGTGCCTCCCCGACTAGTCTCCTTAGCCCAATGAAATTGTTCCTCCTGAAGTCCAGGGCTGCTGTCTTCCTGTCGCGCAGGTGGTCACCAGGGCATCACCCGTGGCCAGGACCAGGTCTAACAGGGCATTTCCCCTGGTGGGGCTGTGCACCTCCTGGGTTAGGTGGAGGTCCTGTATCTTGGCTAGGAACCTACGTGAGCGGTCAGACCTGGCTGACTGCTCCTCCCAGCAGATGTCCGGGTAGTTCAGGTCACCCATGATGACCACATCCTTTGACTTAACTGCCTCCGCGAGCTGATCTGAACATTCTCGGTCCAGCTCTTCCCCCTGGTTGGGTGGTCTGTAGTAGACCGACCCCCACTGTTAAATCCCTTTCTCCCTGACCCCCTTGTATTCTAACCCAGAGCACTTCAGCTTGCCCCTCCTCTGACCCTATGCTGCTCGTTGAGGATGTGAATTGTTCTTTGACGTAGAGTGCTACGCCCCCGCCTTTCCTCCCTGTCCTGTCCCTCCTGTACAGCCCATAGCCCTTGATGTTCACCGCCCAGTTGTGCGTTGAATCCTACCACGTTTCTGTGAGCCCCACTATGTCTGGGTTTGTGTTAGCTAGCAGGAGGGCAAGTTCCTCCTGCTTGTTCCCCATACTACAAGCATTAGTATAGAGGCATTTAAGGCCTCCTGAAGGTGTATGCACCGCCCCGCTAATCCCAGGACTATCTGGGCCCCTGTCTCTTACCTGGGTATGTCTTGTGCTGAAAGATTTATCACTTCCAGTTAAGTAAAGGAATTTCCAGAAAGTTGTGATGTAGTGATGATCCTAGTTACCTTGTGTAATGTTGTCTGAAGGCTCCAGTCTTAAACCTATGTGATATGTGATGGGATTTACATTTTTAACTTGCACACGCTTCGCAGGGTGAAGACACTGAGAACATTTGGCCAAATAGATGTTGACTGGAAGGGTAGAAGGATACTGAATGCGTGATGAT